TGAAGACATGGAGAAGAGACAGGGAAGAGCAGCAGATGAAGATGGAGGCAGAGACTGGAGTGATCTGTTTACAAGAAAAGGAACAGCAGGGATTGCCTGCCACCAACCACCAGAAGCTAGGAAGAGGCGAGAGAGGCTTTCCCCTGGAGCTTTCCCCTAGTAGGAAGAGCATGACCCTGTCAACACCTTGATTTCAGACTGCTAGCTCCAGAACTGAGAGAAAATAAATACTTGCGGTTTGAAGCCACTTTGGTACTTTGTTACAGCAGCCCTAGCAAACCATATACCTACTCTCTATAGTACTGAAAGAGGGTGACCTGTGGACCCCAGGGCTGGTTGTGCTGAAATTTAGAATATCAGGGCAAACCCGTGATGGAGAAGGATGAAGGGAACATCCATTTGTATGACATTTGCTCTGTGCTTGTGATCTTCATCCTTCTCCACAGGGAAGCATAGCCATTCCCATTTCACAGATGAGAAAAGTGAGGCTCAGAGAAGGGAAGTGATTTGTCCCCAAACTCATTTCCCTCAGCCACTAGGTGCTGTGTAAGAAGCAAACCCAGAGTCCAGTTTGAGTCCCACGGAGGTAGGAGGCTATACTTTCCTCCTTTGAGCCTCACTTTCCTCACCCAGAAAATGGGAATAATAGTATCTGCCTTTCTTGTGGTCGTGAGACTGAAATGACTTCATTCTGTCATTTAACAAATATTTATTGAAGGTCTCTGTGCCAGCTCCTGCTCTAGGTCCCGGGGACACAGCAGTGAACAAGATGGGCAAAGTTCATGCTGGCAAGGAGCCAGATTCTTCTGGCTAATGCTTGTCAGGTGCTCTGCAGGGGCTGACACAGTAAGTACTCAGTAAAGCTAACGGGGAGAAGAATTGGGATTGAGTCGGATGGCATGTGGAACGGGCTTGGCCTTTACCAACAGCTCACGTCGGCACTAATTCTTTACCACTCTCTGTGGTGGTAAAGTCGTCCCCCCCGTGCCCCCCACCCCCATGGCCCAGGAGGACACAAGGTCCTTTTGGCCTGTGCCACGTGTTCTTGGGCACCCGGCAGTTGCCAGTGAAAGCTGCTTCCCAAAGCCAGCAGAAAACTCTGCCCCAGGCATGGACTGCGGAGTCAGCGAAGGCGCCTCGGGTCTTGTCAGGAGCTCTCTCCTGCTGGACTGTCCCCTCAGCTACACAGCGTCAGCGCAGCCCCACCCACTCCCTGCCTCTGTCCCTGGGCCAGGCCTGAGCCTGTCCTGGAGGCTCTCCCAGCTGTCCTGATGTCCCCTCTGGCTCCTGCAGACGCTCCCCCTCTCCACCCTGGAGGCCTGTCTGGACACCAGCCCCTCCCCTTGCAGAGGCATCCCCAGACATCACTCCTGTGCTGTTCTTTTTTCCTGACAACTGTGATATCAAATGTCAACCAGGCTCGGCTCTGCTGCGCACAGACAGGTGGGGGCTGGGGGGGTGGTTCTTGATAACTGTGTGGTTTAGGGGAGGGTTCTCTGGAGCTCCCCATAAGGGGCTAGGAAAGGCTGGCCGCGGTCTGCCTCTGCTCCCAATCCACAGTGCTTCTTGAGCAAACTTCTCCCTCCCCAGACCTTGGGTGCTCTGAGCCATCAGCTGTCTCGGTCTTCACTGGGTGGTATCAGGATCTGGGAACAGAGGCAAAGACCTTTGGGGACTGGAAAAATGCTGAGCAAGTGGCAGTGGCTCCTCTGAGAGCTGACTGTCTTCCAGGTGGGCTCTGGAAAGGGGTGCTGAGCAGCATGTGCATCAGACCTCAGAAAAGCCTGTCCTCCTGTCCTCACTTGCCCCGAGTGAGCCGGGACAGCTGGCACCGAGCGCTGGGGAAGCGGGCTCTGGCGGGCCCTGACAGCTCAGCAGTGGCAGCAGTGGAGGTGGCAGTGGCCGCAATGGCAGGGGCTATTCTGAGAGCTGGGAGAGGCTGTGGAACTGAGACTGGAGGAGGGGAAGCAGCAGGGGAGGAGACAGTCCTGTGAGGGTGAGGGGAGTGTCACTGTGGCCCAGGGCGGGGTGTCTGCCAACAGCAGTACTGTTGGAGTGCTGTGTGTTGTGTTCTCCTTACTGGGAGGGGATGGACCGGCTGAGGTACTGAGGCATGCACTGGGGTTGTTTGGGTGTACGTGTACCAGTTTTGTGATCCAAGTAGGAGCTGAGTGGGTAAAGCACATGTCTGTGTGTGAGCGAGAGAGTGTGCATGCATTGGAATTCGAGCATGTTTAAGCCTGGGAAAGTGTGAGCAGAAGCAAATGTGTGTGTGAAAGGGGAGGAATGCAAGGGTAAGCAAGTGGGGGCTTGTTTGTGAGCAGGAATGAATGTGGGAGTGTTGGGGAGGGTAAATGGCAGACTGAGAGCAAGCATGGGGGAGGGGAGGGGAAGGGAGTGGAGGGAAGGGGAGGGAGGAGAAGGCAATTTGAGAGAGAGTCCTGGGGCCAAGAACCATAAGAAGATTCCGGCCTGTGCAATTGGGATGCAAGTGGAAGGGACATATGCAAGTGTGCATGTGAGCCCAGGTGTGTGAGTGGGCACAAGTGTGTGCGTGGTGAGAGCAGATGGGGCAGTGTGAGTTGGGACAAGTACACAGGGAAGATATATATGCAGGAGCAACACCAACAGTAATAAAAACCGGCAAGCTTTTATTGAGCACTTACTCTGAGCCTGGTGCTGATATTCATGATCTTATTGAATTCTTCAAATATCCTATGAAGTCAGTGCTATGATGACACTCATTTATAGATTAGGAAATAGTGGCTTTGAGCAGTTAAGTAACTTGCCCACACTCTTAATCACTGTTATACTGCCTCATAATGAATTGTGAGCAGGGGCCAAGTTGTGAGTAAAGAAGAATGAGTGTCAGTGTGTGGCATGGTGGGTGTGTACGTGGAGGGGGGCTGAGTGTGCCAGATGTGGGTCCCAGAGGAGAGTCAGGCAGCAGCCGTGGACACTGGGTGGGGCAAGGGCCTAGGCAGAGTCTGAGTCAGCCTGAGTCAGGGTGTCCCTGCCAACCTGGCTTTCCAGCCCCGCAATGGCAGCCTGTGCCAGGGCCCCCAGCTAAGGATCCTCCCAGCTCTGGTATGGCCCCCAGCAGGCCTCCATCTCACAGAGCAGGCTGGGCCAGGGCTGAAGACTGGCAGGAGGCCTGCCTGGCCTACAGAGTACCAGAGAGGGCAGCTCCCAGGGTGAGCTCCCCAGGCAGGGAGGGCATATGGGAAAGGGGTACAGCAGTGATTTCAGAGCCCTTGTGACTCTAACCAAAACCACCTGGAGAGTATTCGCATTATGCAGAGGGGTAGGGGGATAGCTGAATGTTCCCATGCCCACCCTTGCGTATGGGGATGTGACTCAGGAAGATGCCATGCCAGGCATTTGCAAGCTGGGCCTGCTTCCGCCCCAGGGGGTGAGGAGGGGCCCCCTTAGCCCCACCCCCACCCATACCCTTAGCCCTACTCCTTGGAACTGCAGTTGGAGGGAAGGATTTTTGACAGAGGCTGTCTCCCATGGCCTGGGCCCAGCCCTCTCACATCCCAGAGAACTCTTGCCAGTTGCCGTCTACAGCTTCTCTAGGAGTCTGGTAATGACTGATGGCTTGGGATTCTAGTCCTGCCCATTCCATCTGGGCAAGTCACCTCCCCACTCTGGGCCTCAGTTTCCTGGTGGGCAAAAAAGAAATATTGTCCTAAAGGGACATAAGGCATGGCTGGAAGAACAGGAAGTAGTGTGGGCAAGCAAGGAACAGAGACAAGTGTTGGGAGTTGGGGTTAGAGAAGGTGTCAGGGATGAGGTGACATTTGAGCTGAGCTTTGAAGAATGGGGGAATCTCTGATCATGTCCTGTAGGAGGGGAAAGGGTGTTCCAGGCAGAGGGCATACTCTGAGCAAAGGCAGGCAGGTGGTATAGTGACTGGAGACCTAGCCTAGAACCTTGTGGGATGAGGTCATGGGCTGCCCAACTTCTCAGCCAGCCTCGCTTCTGAGGCCATATGATGATCTGAGAAACATCTGACTCTTCCCCTAGCCTATGCTAGGAACCCCATCTGTCTCTGCTGCTGCTCTTGCCATAGTGCCCTGAACAGTGCCGGGAGCATCAAAGGTGTTCAATCAATCTGTTAAGTGAATGAGAAGCTTCTCCCCATATAGGATGAATTTTGGGGCAAGTGTTTCTTCCAACAGCTCTTGCAAGAGCATCCCACAGAGTTTAACCCAGTGGTTTGCAGAGTGTAGTCCTCCGTGCACCACCTGGGAACTTGTTAGAAATGCAAAGTCTCCAGCCCCAACCCAGGCTTTCCCTGTGAGGTCCAGCAACATGTTTTCACAAGCTCTGCAGGTGGATTCTGCTACACTTTGAACTTTGAGAATCGAGGCTCTAAAACTATGTTCACAGGTACCCTAAGAGCCGATGAAGACCTCGTTGCAGGTGGAGAAGCTAGAAATGTGGCAAAGCCTGGCCCAGAACCCTGGTATTCTTTCCCCAGCCCAGTCTAGGGCACAAAGGAGAGCTCCACCATCCGCCCCATCAGGATTCTAAGACTTGGAAACGCCAGGGATCCAGAGTCCGGGGCTGGGCATTCCCTTCGAGAGTAGAAGGCGGGGTCAAGTGCTCTGAGTCCCGCCCCATCCTCGTTGCCCGGGGAAACCCAGGGTTGTAACAATAACCCGCTGACGCGCTTCTGGGAGGGATCCTGCCGAGTCCGTGGGTGGGACAGCCCTGCTGCGAACCAATGAGGGCGCTAGGGACACGCCCCGCGCCCCCTCCCCTAGAGCCGAGCAGGGGGCGGGGTCGCGCCCGCCACTCCTCCACTGCTCCATAGGCGGCGCTGTTGCTTGCAGGGGATGCGGTGGGGTCGCCCCGAGTCGCGCGCCCCGCGTCTCCACCACCCCCCGGCCCGCGGGCGGGGTACCGGGCAGGCCCAGGATTCCGTGGCTGCTAGTGGGTACGCCCCGCCCCCGCCCCCGCCGGACCCGCCCCTTCTCGGTCCCCCGCCCATCCCGAGGTGCAGCCGGCGCTGAGCGCGGCAGGCGCGGGAGCTGGCGCTGGAGCCGGAGCGGCGGCGGCGGCGGCGGCATTCACGGGGCGGCGGCGGTGCGGGCTCCCGCACGGGCTCGGGCTCCGGCATGGTGCAATCCGGCCTCGTCCCAGGAGACCGGGGCCCGCGCGCGGGGCCGGCGCCCGGTGAGCGGCGGCAGCGACGGTGGCGGCGGTGGCTGCAGGTTCAGGCGGGCGGCAGGTGCTAGAAGCGGAGCTGGCCGAGGTGTGTGCTCGCTGGGCTCCGGGGCCGCCGCCCCCTCACTGCTCTGGTCTTTCCCTCCCTTTGGGCTTTCCAGCGACACCAGCCCTCTGTCTCCGTGCCCCGGCCCATGGCGCCCCGCGGTTGAGCCGGCGCCGCCAGGGACCCCTCCCGCGGGCCTCCCCGGGGCGTGCAGATCCCGGAGCCGCCCGCCCACCCTCCCCGGAGCTTCCCTCCTCGCCCGAGCCGGGCGGGACCATGGCTGCTAAGCTGCGAGCGCATCAGGTGGACGTGGACCCGGACTTCGCGCCGCAAAGCCGGCCGCGCTCCTGTACCTGGCCCCTGCCGCAGCCCGACCTGGTTGGCGACGAAGACCGAGCGCTGGGTCCAGGGGTAGCTGCGGGCGCCGAGGACTGCGGGCTGGAGCGCCGGGCGACGGCCCCGGCGATGGCCCCAGCGCCGCCACTGGGAGCGGAGGTCGGACCGCTGCGGAAAGCCAAGAGCTCTCGGCGGAACGCGTGGGGGAACCTGTCTTATGCCGACCTCATCACCAAAGCCATCGAGAGCGCCCCGGACAAGCGGCTCACGCTCTCTCAGATCTACGACTGGATGGTCCGTTACGTGCCCTACTTCAAGGATAAAGGCGACAGCAACAGCTCGGCCGGCTGGAAGGTGGGGGCGTCCGGCTGGGGAGAGGGGCTGGGCTCCTTGGCTAGGGCTTCCAGAGGGAGCTCTGTGCGTCTGGGTTCCGGGCGAGCCGGCGGGAGGGAGGCCCTCCTGCCCCGGGGCACCCCCAGGGGTCAAGGAGTGTGAGCCCAGGGCGTGGGGCCGGCCAGCAGACAGGAGGGGGCGTGCTGGGAGCAGCTGTGTGCATATTCTGGATGCGGGATGGGAGGTCTCTTGGGGTAACAAGGGACTGACTGCCACTTTGAGGCACCCCTGAAGGACACCCCCAGCCCATTCCTGGAGGCATCGCGGAGGAACCCATTCCCAGGCTTCGGACAGTGGGGAGCCTCCTCTGACCCCATGAGTGTGCTTTGAGTTACTCTTGTTTTACCCTCTCCACCAGGGCACCCTCCTTAAAGAGCTGGCATCATGACTTGGGTCAGTGGCTGCTTTCCCCCAAAATCTTCCCCACTTCCCTGCCTGGTGCTGACCCCAGGGTGAGGAGTGCAACCTTCAGCTCACAGCCCTTCCTGTGGAGCCAGGAGTTCACCTTAGGGCACCAGCTAGTCTGGGGTGGGGTGACTTGTCAGGTGACCTGGGATCTGAGTTTTCCATGGGGCAGCTGCTGTCCCCCTTGCTTTGATCAGTATGATGGGCTGGTGCTGACTGCTGCTGGTGTTAGGGCACGGCATTGAGGGCTGGGGATCCGTCTCTGCCTACCCCAGGCTGTCTTCCACTTCCCAGGCTTTCTGAGCTCAGATGCATGTGGGAGTGGGGGAGGGGCAGGGGCACCCCAAGGGAAGCCTCACTGCCAGCCAGGGGAAAGGGGAGAGCCATCTTGGGAGAGGACAGGGGCTTGACTGGATTATGCCTTCCAGACCCTCTCGTGGGGAATGGGAATAGTCAGTGTTTTTTTTGGGGGGGGGGGATAGGAAGTTGGGGATGGAGGGGCTGTGCCTAAGGTCTGTGAGCTGTCAGACTCCCTATGGGAGAGGAGGATCTCTGCCAGGGAGGCATGCCTAAATGGAGGGAGGGGGCTGTGCCTGGTGGCGGCTGCAGACAGGGTCAGAGGAGGTGTGCCAGTGGCGGGGGGGGGGGGGGGGGTGGCAAGCTTGTCGGCATGGACAGCACTAGATGCCCAGTGGCTGCATTATAGGGGTCGTGGGTGCTCTGACCTGGGAGCCTATGGCTCTCAGGCCACTATGGGGTGGGGTCACAGGGTGGAGGACCAGACACGAGCCTCTTCCCTAGCCTCTCCAGTCCCCTTGGGGTCAGCTCCCATTGGAACACTTACTCCTCCCAAGTGTGTCCTGCCCTTGGGCTTTGCTCCCACCTCCTTCCCTGCTCCCCATGCACTGTCCCACCTTTTACTTCTCCCTGTAGCTATATTCCTTGTTCTGAAGGGCAAAGTTCAGGTGCCTCTTCCTGGAAACCTTCCTTAACCCTTTTTAGTTAGCTTAGGAACCCCTCTTCTCTGGTCCTCTCCCTGCCTGTCAGAGGTCTTAGTCTTTTGTGTCCTATCTCGTTTCCCTTCCCCACCCTGCCTGTGGAAGACAGTGGCAGTGTCGGAGTAATCTCTGTGCCCACAGCACCCAGTGGTAGAGCCTGGCACTGAGGAGCCACCAGTGCTCTCTGGCGAAAAGGGGAAGAAATGGGTGGATGGTGCAAAGGATGCTGAGGCTGTGGGCCAGAGTAAGCCAGGAGGGCTTGCTACAGGAGGTGGCGCTCCCACTGGGCTTGCCGGATTAGGGATGATGGGGGAAGATGCCCAGAGGGGACCTGAAGCTGGAAGCTAGGAGAGAACTGCAGTTCATTGAGGCTCTCAGGCCCAAGCCTGTGCCAGACACTTTCAGGCATCTGTGCCAGGTGTCTCCTTAAAGGCTCTCATCAGTCCCTGAGGGGGGTTTTATTGTCACCATGTACAGAGCTGGACACTGAGGCACGCGTGGAGGAGTGAACTGCCCGAGGTCACACCGTCAGTAGATGGGAAAGCTGGACTCCAGTCCTGGGGTCTCTCCCTCCCATGCCCCACAGAGCCTCTGAGATAGTGTCCTGCTGGCGCTGGGTGTGGGAGTGGGACATTGATGGCTTTTCAACAGGGGCAGGTCTAAATCCTAAAATGTGATTGGGAGTGTGCTTGGAGACAACTTAGTCCCACGAGTTCATTTCTCAGACTGTGAGACTGAGGCCCGGGAAGGAGATGGGACTTTCCTCAGGCCATCAGTGAGCAGCAGGCCCTGGATGACGGCCCAGGTCTCCAGCCTGCCCACTGGATGCGATTTCCACTGCACCAAGCTGCTCAGGACACAGTGGTTCTCCCTGGGTCTGGGCTCAGGAAGGAGGGAGTTCTGGAAGGCTCGTCCTGGGCTGGAGCATTGGAGAGGGAGACTCAGGCTTGGGCTCCTGACCTAGGCCCTGGCAGAGACCATCCAGCCACTGGGGAAGGGCTGTTCAGAGGGGACTCTGGTCTTTCCCATCTCATTCCCTGGTGGTTATCCTCCTTCTACTCCCTCCATTCAGCTCCCCAGGGAGCCTCTTTTCCCTCTCATCCTGCTCCCCCTGCTGCCTCTTCCCCCATTCCCAGTCAGTCCCTCCAGGGACCTGGTAGAGGGGCCATCCCTAACCAGCCTCTGGTTAGCAGGGGCTGTGGTACACCTCAGGTGCCTAGACTGGGGCCAGGGCCCATTATTCCTTCCTTCCTCCCCCGCCCCCCCCCCCCAACACACACACACGCATAAATGTTGGACTGGGACCCCTGGGTTGTACTAAACCCTGGGTTAGATGGAGTAGGTCAACCAAAAGGAAAGACATTGGACTTGCCTTTAGGACACACCAGGGCTCAGCCAGTTCCACACTCAGGCCCTGTGTTTTACAGGAAGGAAGGGCCAGGGGTGGGGGCAGAGGTATGGGGAAGGCAGGTTAGATCCCTTGGGGAGCCCAGCAAGCCCTCACTGAGAAGGTGGCACTTGATCTGAGCTGCTTTCATTGGGGTAGAACTTGGGAGAAATTCTTCCAGGGGAGGTGGCATTGAGCATGTTGGGTCTGGGAGGCCATTGGGCATGCTAGGCTAAAACCCAAGGCTCCTAAGGATGGCAGGGAGGTGACCCGGGAAAGGCAGAGTGGGACAGATCAGGAAGGGCTCATGTGCTTGGCCTCTGCCTGGTGGCCCCGCCTGTGATGTGGGGAGGTAGTCGAGCACATCAAAGGAGGCAAGATCAGCAGCAGGCGCAGTACACCCACCAGGCTGAAGCCTGAAGAGGCTGATAGTGTTCAGAGTAGAGGGTCTCCAGGCCTGGGAAGAGGCTTGGACAGGAGGTCCCCATCCCTCTAGTGTCCCAGAAGTGTGGCTATCAGACATCCAGGTAGAGCCTCCCACTTTCTCTCAGATGCTCCAGCTCCACCTTCCCTACTGATGACTCCTCCAGGGAGCCTTCCAGGCTGCTCTGGGTCCCGGTGAAGCACTTAGCACTCCTGTCTCTTATCGCCCCTGGAGTTGTTCTGCCTGTTTCCTGGCTGCCAGCTCCCCTGGGAGCTCCCAGGCCAAGCCTGGGCGCCTCCCATTCCTGTCCCCAGGCCTGGTCGGGGAGGAGCACAGGGATGAGGACTTCTCTTCACCCTCAGGGCCTGGAGCAGCCTGGCTGTTGGGGGGTGGGATCTGGAGGGATGGTGTGCTACCCCCATCGGCCCAGGCTGGCCAATAGGTCCTAAGTGGGATGGGGGCTAGAAGGAGGGACTGATCTGAGACTCCAGGAGGAGGGTCCTGCTACAGCTGGGCTGAGCATTGATTGTGAGTACAGGGGGCGCCCCCTTTTTTCCTCCCCTAGCCTGCTGGAGCAGGGCTCCCTCCTCCTTCTTTGTCCTCCGGGGATCCCCAGCCCCCAGGGCTAGTGGGGTGTGGGAAGAGGCTGTGTGAGCCAGGGTTGGGGGGTGTCCTCACAACCCCCCCACAAACACACTGCACGAGCGGGGGGCTGGCAGCTGCCCGCCTCCTGGGCACAAGCCCGTGCCAGCCGCTCCTGGCACAGTTGCTGGCACGCCCGGCAGACTCCCACGGCCACCTGCTCACACCCACCCACGAGCTAGCGCTGGCGCTGCGGGCCCTTCCGGCTTTCCGGGCCTCCTGAGGCCCCTCCCCCGCACTCTGGAGCCCCCACCCCAGCCCTCGGCTCCCCGCCCGCCAGCCCGCCCGCCCCCTCGCTCTTGGCTGTCCGGAGCCCAGGGTGCTGGACCCATACCCACACAACTTGGGGAGCTGGGTCCCCAGGCCCCTGGGGGTAGCTTCGCTGCGGGGAGGGGAAGAGGGGGCACTAGGAAGCCGACAGACCGACAGACAGGGTGAGGGCCCCGCCTGCCACCTGGCGCCGCTCCAGCGGGACGATGGCGGGCAGCGCCGTGCCAGGCGGTAATTGCAGACAGACTAATTTAAAGAGATGAGACGGTTATTTTTAACTCGTGTTAAGGTAATGAACGGCGCGAGGGGTTGGGGGTGGGGTGGGGTTTGCGGTTCGAAAGTTCAGTGCCCACCAACCCCCACTTTCTGCGGTTTGGGGGCTCTCTCTCTCTCTCTCTCTCTCTCTTTCTCTCTCTCGGGCCGGAGGACTCCAGCCTCAGGACTGACTGGAGCTGGGGCTTTGCCAGCGAGGGTGGGGTTGGCTGAGAGGGCCCGGGAGGGGGTGCCCACTAACCAAGCGCCTGACCAGGTCCTTCCAGGTGGTTATTAGGATCTCTCTTTCCCAGATGGAGAACTGCCCTGCCCTGGGGTCACATCCTAGGAAGTGGCAGGCCTGGGAGTTGAACCCCCTTCTAACCCCCAAGTGTAAGCTTTCCCTGTGCCATCGAGGCTAGAAGCGAGCTTTTCCTGGAAGCCCACCTTCTCTTTTCTTTGAGTGGCAGCTGGTGGTGGCCACCACGTGTGGTCTTGGGGGCGGTGGAAGCCCTGCTCTCTGTGTCTTGTGAGGGCTGATTCTGGACTGTGTGTGGACATGAACCTCTGGGGTATGGCTGTA